GTAGGGGTTAACCCTTGGCGAAATCCACATGCAACTCTCCAAGAAATCAACAAATATTGACTTTTCTTCTTCTTTTCTCCTCTTTTCTCCTTTCTCCAAGCCCTAACGTGAATTTCCTATTTTCTAAACTGATATAATTCTGATAAAATCCCAATTAAACCCCTAAAAATGAAATAAAATAATTGGATAAGGAAAAGACCAAACTACCCTTCCAAAATCCGGATTAGACCTTCCTTATTTGAACATCCCAACTTCAAATAGGCATATCTCACTCATACGAACTCGGAATCATGCAAAATTGGTGGGGTTGGAAAGATAATTCCAACACATTTCCTATGGTATCTGGAAGCACACCTAACTCATCTTGAGCTAGGAGTTATGGTCGTTTGAATTTGACCAAAAACTCAAACTTAACTAAACCAATTTTCCAGATTTTTCATTCTTTCCTAAAATGACTCTTTCCAATTCTAAATATTTCTAGTTCTTTCAAATAGCGAGATGTTACAATATCTCCCCTTTGGGAAAATTTGCCATCGAATGAGATTAGTCTTAGTAGGCTAAGGGTGTAACATCTAATATTTAGTTCAAACACCCAACAATCAAATCTAACACATCAAGTATATAAATTAAAAAGTACGTAAAAGAGAATTAGTACCTTGGTTTGGAATTTCTTCGGGCTCAAAGATATGTGGATATCTCTTCTTCCTATACTCCTTAGCTTCCCAAGTAGCTTCCTCAACAAACTGGTTCTTCCAAAGGACTTTGACTGATGCTACTTCCTTATTCCTCAACTTACGAACTTAGTGATCTAGAATCTGAACCGAGATCTCCTCATAGGATAAGTTATCCATGATACCAATATCTTCAGTTGGTATGATAAGTGAAGGATCTCCCATGCACTATTTCAACATGGAGACGTGAAATACCGGATGAACTACGACTAACTCTTGTGGTAGCTCTTACTCATAAGCTATATTGCCAATCCTCTTGAATAGACTAAGCTTCCCCTTCTTACCAAATCTCACAACACCCTTCATGGGTGAAACTTTCAATTATACCCAATAATCTAATTCAAACTCCAACTCCCTTCTCCTAACATCAGTGTAGGATTTCTGATGACTCTGCGCTGTTTTCAACCTCTCTTGAATCACTTTCACTTTCTCCATAGCTTCATGAACTAATTCTGGTCCTATCAACCTAGCTTTACCAACTTCAAACCATCCAATAGGAGATATGCATTTTCTCCCATAAATAGCTTCATAAGGAGCCATTTGGATGCTAGAGTGGTAACTATTGTTGTAAGCAAATTCAATAACAGGTAGGTGAACATCCCAATTACCTTTGAAACCAATCACACAAGGCCTCAACATATCCTCTAAGGTCTGAATAGTGCGCTCTGCTTTACGATCTGTCTGAGGATGAAAAGTAGTACTTAAGTTCACCTTTGAACCCAAGCCTTCCTGAAAAGATTTCCAGAACTGTGTAGTAAATTGGGCACCTCTATCTGAAATAATCGAAATTGGAACCCCATGAAGTCTAACTACCTCTTGAATATACAACTTAGCATAATCCTTTGTTGTATGGGTAGTCTTTGCCGGCAAAAAGTGGGTTGATTTGGTCATTCGATCCAAAATCACCCAAATAGAATCATGCTACCTGCGAGACCTTGGTAAACCATTGATGAAGTCCTTATTGATCATCTCCAACTTTCATTCCGAAAGTTCTATATTCTGAGCCATACCACCGAGCCTTTGGTGCTCTACTTTAACTTGTTGGCAATTCGGACACTTAGCAACAAATTCTGCAATGCCCTTCTTCATACTACTCCACCAATAAACTTCTTTCAAGTCACGGTACATTTTTATGGAACCCGAACGAATGGAATATCTGGAGCTACGAGCTTCCTCCATGATCCTCTCTTGGAGTTCATCCACCCTTGGTACACAACCTACATTGATACCTCAATACGCCATCTCCCCCTTGTTCAAAAGCCAAAAAAATTGATTTGCCTTCAATTCAAGAAAAATAGGATCTTGGTCTTGCTTCTCTTTTACTTCTGACACTAATGATGATTCTGCCCCATTCATCACCACTACTCCTCCTTCTCTGGAATCCATTAGTCAAACTCCCAATCAGGAAAGTCTATGCACATCTCTTGCTAGCTTATTCTTATCTTCCTCAAAATGGGCGGTACTACCCATAGACAACCTGCTCAAGGCATCAGCAACAACATTAGCCTTACCTGGGTGGTAAAGAATACTCATGTCATAATCCTTGAGTAATTCTAACCACCTTCTTTGTCTGAGATTAAGCTCTTTCTGAGTAAACACATACTGAAGACTCTTGTGATCGGTGAACACATCCACATGAACACCATAAAGGTAATGGCGCCATATTTTCAAAGCAAATACTACGGCAGCCAACTCTAGATCACGGGTTGGGTAGTTCTTCTCATGAACTTTCAACTGTCTGGAGGCATAAGCTATAACCTTGCCATTTTGCATTAACACACAACCCAAACCAATTCTAGATGCATCACAATACACAACAAAACCTTGTGTACCTTCTAGTAAGGTAAATATTGGGGCAGTAGTCAAATTCTATTTTAATTCCTAAAAGCTTTTTTCACAAGCTTCAGACCATTGAAATTTCACTATTTTCTGAGTTAACTTGGTCAAAGGGGATGAAATAGATTAGAACTCATTTACGAACCTTCTATAATTTCCAGCCAACCCTAAGAAACTCCTAATATCAATTGGAGATGTGGGTCTAGGCCAATTCTGCACTGCCTCTATTTTCTGAGTATCAA